GGTGAGGCAGGGGCAGGAGTGAAGGCCAGGGAGCAGGCCAGGGGCAGGGGTGAAGCAGGGAGCAGCATGGTGGCAGGGTTCTCGTGAAAGGCAGGGCAGGATGTGGAAGGCATGGGAGCAAGCAGGGGCAGGGATGACGCCAGGGGCACCAGCCCAGGGGTGGAAGGCCCAGGGAAGCAGGCAGGGGCCCGAGGGTGAAGGCAGGAGCAGGCTGGGGCAGGCGGTGAAGGGCCAGGGAGCAGGTGGGGCAGCGGCGGTGAAGGCGGGGGGCACCAGGCGGGCAGGGTAAGAGGGAGCAGGCCGGGGGCCCGCCACCTGCGCACGGGCGCGATCCCGCGCGGCGCCAGCGGCGTAGCCGGGCGGCAGCCGGCCCAGCGGTGGCGCGCCGCCTGGGACTTTCAGGCCAGCGCGCGCGGCGCAGCCCCCCGTTGCGCACGCGGCACTCGTCCACGTCTGCAGGGCGGGCGGGACAGGAGGGCTGTGGCGGGGGGGCCGCCGCGCTGGGGACAGGAGCAGAGCGGGCGCTGTAGGTGCGGGCAGGAGGGGCGCCGCTGCGGGGCCCGGGCGGCTTGCAGACGCGGCACAGGCTGCACCGCACGCAGCCCTGGCGCTCGGGGCGTGGCCTGGAAGCCGGCGTCGCAGAGCAGTGGAAAGCCGCCCAGACGTTGACGCACTGGCCGTGGGGACCAGGCCGTCCGCAGGGAGCACGTCGTCCACGTCTGCATGGGAGCGCTTTTGTTTATTGGGGCTGTTTGCGGGGTAGGCCCTTTTTTTGTGGACAGGGGCTGCCGCGTCCCCGCCTGCCGCCGGCGTGGCCCGGAGTCACACTCGGACACACCACGCGGCCAAAGAGCCACGCTGCTGCCAGGTGCACACGCCATGCACGGCCTCACGCCCGCCCGTGCACACGCCAGACCTCCGCACACTCGCACCCAGTGTCAGACACACGCGTCACACATCACTACCGCTACACCGGCCCGTGGGCACTGCCCATGGGTCCCCCCACACTCGCACCCAGTGCAATAACACACGCGTTCACACTACGCACCTCACACTTTGTCCGCTCCTGTTGATCACTGCCATCTGCGGGCCCTCCCGCACACTCGCACCCATGTGCAGACACCACGCGCTGCATCACACACACCTCCACACCCGCCCCGTGCACACCAAGGCCCCCGCACACTCGGCGAGCGCGCTGAGTGGCGAGAACACCACGCGCTCACCACACACACGCTCCACACTCCTTGCCTCGTGCAAGGGCTTTGTTGTATCGGCTTCAGGCCCTCCTGGCGTTACACTTCGTGCATCCTCAGCATGGGGTTGATCTATATCTGAGTCTGGTTGTGCTGCTCACACATCATCACTCTCCATCACTCCTGCGCCGTGCTATCACGCTCAGTCGTTCCTTCTCCATCACTTTCGCACCCAGTGGCATATTAACACTTACTCATCATCTCACGACGAGCCTCATCTACTTTTTCGTCTCTTTTCGTGCACACGTTCCAGTGGCGCCGCCACTCGCTGACCAGTGCAGACATCGCGAGCTCACACACAACCTCACACCTGCCCGTGCACACGCCAGGGCCCCCACACACTCGCACCCATTGCAACACACGCGTCTCTACCCACCACAACCTCACACCCGCCGGTGCACACGCGCCAGGCCCCCACACACTCGACAGTGCAGACACACCCACTCACACACACACCTTCCACTTCCCTGCCCGTTTGTTCCGTGCACATCTGTCGTTCAGGCCCCCACCACATCTCTGCGACGCCTGAGTGTCAGTAACATCACTCACATAGCACACATCCTCACAGCGCCGCCCGGTGACACGCCAGGCCCACGATCACTCGGTCACCGCAGTGCAGACACACTGCGTCTCACACACACGCGTCAACTCCGCCGTGTCACACGCCAAGGCGCCCACAGCACTCCGCACCCAGTGCAACACGACGCGCTCACACCACTACGACCGCACACTCCGGGCCCGTGCACACGCAGGCCCGCCACACATCTCGCACCCAGCAGACACACGCGCTCACACACCACCTCCTAACACTCCGCCCGTGCACGACGCCAGGCCCGACACCAACTCGCACCCGAGTGCAGACAACGCGTCAACGACACACTCTCCACACCCGCCGTGCACAGCCAGGCCCCACCACACTCGCACCCAGTGCAGACACACGCGCTCACACACACACCTCACACCCGCCCGTGCACACGCCAGGCCGCCCACACACTCGCACCCAGTGCAGAGCAACACACTCACACACTATCATCTCACATCCCGCCTTCGTGCACCTACGCCAGGCCCGCCGCAGCACACTCGCACCCAGGTGCAGACACGTACGCTCACAAACACACCGCACACCCGGCCCGTGCACACGCCAGGGCCCCCGCACACTCGCCCCAGTGCAAACATGCACATCTCACTCACACTTACGCACCTCTATATCTCTGTCTTCCGTCTTGTGCATCTATCGCCAGGCCCTGTACACTTTGCACTCTCTTATGTGCAGACACTGCTTGAGTCTCATTCACACTTACACCTCTCCGACTATTCTTTCCGCCGGTGCACGACGCTCAGGCCCCTCACGCACACTCTTGCAACCTAGTTGCAGGTGACACACTGCGCTCACATCACTCACACCTCTACACTTCCGCCTGTGCCTACACGCCAGCCCCCACCATCACTTCGCACTCCCTAGTGCAGATTCCACATGCGCTGCTCTACACACACACCTCCACACTCGCCCGTTGCACTTACGCCAGGGCTCTTACCACCACTCGCACCCAGTGCCAATACCTACACACTGCTCACACATTCGCACCTTCATCACTTTTCCGCCTTTGTGTTTTTTTCTGGTGCCTACATCGCTCAGCCCCCTATCACACTCTGCACCCGTAGTGCAGTACCACTGCGAGGCTCACACGACTACACCTTCATCATCTTTGTTCCGCCTCGGTGCACACCCTAGGCTCCTCCCCGGTGTGTGTGTGAGCGCGTGTGTCTGCACTGGGTGCGAGTGTGCGGGGTCTGGCGTGTGCACGGGCGGGCGTGAGGCCGTGCATGGCGTGTGCCCTGGCAGCAGCGTGGCTCTTTGGCACGCGTGTGTGTCCGAGTGTGACTCGCGGCCACGCCGACGGCAGGCGGGGCGCGGCAGGTCCCTGTCCCGGGCCTCCCCCGCCAGCCCTGCGCTCCCTGCAGACGTGGACGAGTGCTCCCTGCGGGACGGCCTGTGTCCCCACGGCCAGTGCGTCAACGTCCTGGGCGGCTTCCACTGCTCCTGCGACGCCGGCTTCCAGGCCACGCCCGAGCGCCAGGGCTGCGTGGGTGAGCCTGTGCCGCGTCTGCCAGCCCGCGGGCCCTGCAGCGGCCGCCCCTCCTGCCCGCACCTAGACGCCCGCTCGCTCCTGTCCCCAGAGCGGCGGCCCGCCCGCCCCAGCCCTCCCTGTCCGCCCCGCCCCTGCAGACGTGGACGAGTGCCGCGTGCGCAACGGGGGCTGCGCCGCGCGCTGCCTGAACGCCCAGGGCGGCCACCGCTGCGGCTGCCCGCCCGGCTACGCGCTGGCGCCCGGCGGGAGCGCGTGCGCAGGTGGGCGCGCCCCGGCCTGCTCCCTGCCTTCACCCCTGCCCCTGGTGCCCCCCGCCTTCACCCCTGCCCCAGCCTGCTCCCTGCCTTCACCCCTGCCCCAGCCTGCTCCCTGCCTTCACCACTGCCCCTGCCTGCTCCCTGCCTTCACCCCTGCCCCTGGTGCCCCCTGCCTTCATCCCTGCCCCTGCTTGCTCCCTGCCTTCACTCCTGCCCCTGCCTTCACCCCTGCCCCTGCCTGCTCCCTGCCTTCACCCCTGCCCCTGCCTGCTCCCTGCCTTCACCCCTGCCCCTGCCTGCTCCTGTCTTCACCCCTGCCCTGCCTGCTCCCTGCCTTCACCCCTGCCTCTGCCTGCTCCCTGCCTTCACCCCGCCCCTGCATGCTCCCTCCCTTCACCCCTGCCCTCTACCTGCTCCCTGCCTTCACCCCTGCACCTTGCCTGCTCCCTGCCTTCACCCCTGCCCTCTACCTGCCCCCTGCCTTCACCCCTGCCCTCTGCCTGCTCCCTGCCTTCACCCCTGGCCCTGCCTGCTCCCTGCCTTCACCCCTGGCCCTGCCTGCTCCCTGCCTTCACCCCTGGCCCTGCCTGCTCCCTGCCTTCACCCCTGCCCCTGCCTGCTCCCTGCCTTCACCCCTGCCCCTTGCCTGTTCCCTGCCTTCACCCCTGCCCCTGCCTTTAACCCTGCCCCCTGCCTGCTCCCTGCCGTCACCCCTGGCCCTGCCTGCTCCCTCCCTTCACCCCTGCCCTCTGCCTGCTCCCTGCCTTCACCCCTGCCCCTGCCTGCTCCCTTCCTTCACCCCTGCCCCCCTGCCTGCTCCCTCCCTTCACCCCTGCCCCCTGCCTGCTCCCTCCCTTCACCCCTGCCCCCTGCCTGCTCCCTTCCTTCACCCCTGCCCCCCTGTCTGCTCCCTCTCTTCACCCCTGCCCCCTGCCTGCTCCCCCAGATGTGGACGAGTGCAGGGAGAACCCGGACATCTGTGACCAGGGCCAGTGCACCAACATTCCGGGAGGTCACCGCTGCCGGTGCTATGATGGCTTCGTGGCCACACCAGACATGAGCACGTGCGTTGGTAAGAAGCAGGGACCGTGGGGGTGGAGGGCAGCGTCGGAATCTGCACGCCACATCTTCCGTAAGGACCCGGGCATGGCAAACCGGGTCCCCTCCCTGCCACACGCAGGAAAGAGAAGTTGAGGCATTGTAGCCACGGTGGATATTCTGCTTGGGGGTCCCCGGGACCCTGAGCCCCCTTCCCCAAGCCCACGGCTCTCACTTGCAGATGCACAGCACCCTGAGCCGCATTCTTCTGAATTCCGTTTGTTGAGTACTCACCAGGTCCCCAGTACCTATGAGAGGGCGCAAGGGCCGGGCTTTCAGATCACCAAAGACAAAGGGGTTGTTTGCAGAGGAGGCTGAACAAGGTGGGGAAGAGGCTTAGCACCCCCAGGATGTTCGGGTGGCGATCACTGTCCTCACCTGGCTCCAGGTCATCTCGGAGCCTGGACAGGAGAAGTATACTGCGTCCCCTATCAGGGCAGAGCTGAAGCCAGCTTGGGGAATTTTCAGGAAGTAACAATGTAACTCCCACCCAAGAAGTCTTGTGCAGCCCAGTGGAACTTAAAGTGTTCTGGCTCACAGAAGCCTCAGGGATCTCCTAAAAAGAAACTTGTGAGCAAGTCCCCAAATACATTTAGGGAATTCTATCTGCTCCATATCCCTATAGCAGATCCAGTAGGCGCATTGGCGTAAAGGCTCTGACAAGTCCTGTAGGAGGAAAAACTTGATCAGCTTTGTTGAAGCCTGCATTCCCTAAATGTATTTGACCACAAAATCCTTTTGGGAATACACACTTGGTGTATTCCTTGGAATATGCGCTAGATGTTCACAGAACATTCCTGGCGGCCCAGTGGTGGAAGCGGAGTGAGCTCCCCAGCCCTGGAGATGCCCAAAGGGGACCCGCATGGTGGGACGCTCAGGAATGTCGTATCTCTCCCATTTCCTCTCCCGTGGCCCCAGCACTCAGCCCTGAGGCCTCACGCCCTCTGCCCCTACAGACGTGAACGAATGTGACCTGAACCCCCACGCCTGCCTCCATGGGAGCTGTGAGAACACCAGAGGCTCCTTCGTGTGCCACTGCCGGCTGGGATACGTCGTCAGGAAGGGAGCCACGGGCTGCTCCGGTGAGCCAGTGGTCAGAGGTGCAGGCAGGGGGGACCCCGGCGGCTCCCTCGGTGCGCCAGCTAGTGGGGTACAGAGCTGGCCAGAATTCATTCTTACGCATTCCCACTGACAGGGTCTCGTGTGAAAGCAAAAACAGGGCCAGGTGCGGTGGCTCATGCCTATAATCCCAGCACTTTGGGAGGCCGAGGCAGGAGGCCAGGAGTTTGAGACCAGCCTGGGCAATATAGCAAGACCCCATCTTTACAAAAAATAAATTAAAAAAGAAACATTAGCTGGGCGTGGTGGTGCGGACCTATAGTCCCAACTGCTTGGAAGGCTGAGGCGGGAAGGTCACTGGAGCCCAGGAGTTCAAGGTTACAGTGAGCTGTGGGGACAATTCTACCTCCTCCAGTTATGCAGTTATTTTAATTTGTGCTAGAAACAAACGTTGCATAACAGAGCATCAAACCGTGGCTTCTTTTTTTTTTTCTTTTTTTTTTTTTGAGACAGAGTCTCGCTTTCTTGCCTAGGCTAGGGTGAGTGCCATGGCGTCAGCCTAGCTCACAGCAACCTCAAGCTCCTGGGCTCAAGCAATCCTCCTGCCTCAGCCTCCCCAGTAGACTACAGGCATGCGCCACCATGCCTGGCTAATTTTTTCTATATATATTAGTTGGCCAATTAATTTCTTTCTATTTATAGTAGAGACGGGGTCTCCCTCTTGCTCAGGCTGGTTTTGAACTCCTGACCTAGAGCAATCCGCCCACCTCGGCCTCCCAGAGTGCTAGGATGACAGGTGTGAGCCACCGCGCCCGGCCCAGAGGCACACCCTCATGCACACGTCCACACACTCGTCCATGGTGATGTGTGTGCGCATTGTCAACGCTCAGTTCCACGCACTTGAGCTCACTCAAGACACGCACACACACTCCCAGCAACACGCACTCAAAGGCAGCATGTACCCAAGGCCCCGCACGCACTTAGGCTCACGGTCGCACTCACGGCCTCCCACACATTTGCACACTCTCACTCACGCAGGTGCACACCCGCCATCGCCCACGCACACTTTGTGGCCATGCCCTTGCACTCAGACACGTGCACACTCGCGCCAACCACTGCACACGCGCTAGCCCATCGGAGCCCACCTCTCCCAGCCCGCGTTCCCGCAGAGCGCCCGGGCTGCCTGCCTACCGCCCATGCCAGTGTGACTTCTGCCCCTGGTGCCACCAGCGCCCTCCTTGCGTCCTTCTTAGGTCCCACTGTGCTCATTCTCTGCAGCCACTGAGGCCCAGCTGCCTGCTCCCAGCCGCCCCCGCCACGCCTGGGTTTCCTCATCTGCCTCACTCTTGTCCCTTCTTGTGCCCCAACCCCCTTGAGGCCCATGGGACCTGCCCATCGGCATTCACGTGTGGTGGCTGTGATACTGCTATTTGTAACACGGAATACACACAGGCGGCCTTCCAGTCCCACCTCTGCAGATGCAGCCAACCTCAGCTTTTGAAAATACTTGAACAAAAAAAAAAAAAACCAGGAAAAATAATAATACAACAGTTACAAGCAATGCAAATAAGTCTGGGGGATGGTGGCTCACGCCTGTAACCTCAGCGCTGTGGGAGGCTGAGGCAGGAGGATCCCTTGAGGGCAGGAGTTCGAGACCAGCCTGGGCAACATAGCAAGATCCCATCTCTACAAAAATTTTAACAATTAGCCAGGTGTGGCGGTGTGCATCTGTAGTCCTAGCTACTTGGGAGGCTGAGGCAGGAGGATCGCTTGAGCCTGAGAATTAGATGCCGCAGTGAGCTATGATAGCATGACTGCACTCCAGCCTGGGTGACGGAGCAAGACCCTGTCTCTTTGAAAAAGAAAAAATGCGTGGACACCCAGCTGGTGTCAGAATTGGTCCGAGTTGGGGAAAAATCCCCCACATCTGCTCACTGAAGGGCTCTGTGCTGTGTTGAAGGTTAGAGTAGGAAGAGCGGTTTGGTTCTCCCGGCTGTTGCAGTGCACGCACACGGTTCTGAGAACACGCATGCTCGCGTGCACATTTGGTTCTCGTGCTCTCTGCGCGTGCACGTACCAGGGCGCACCCCACGCTACGGGCTGCTGCAGCCCCCCGGGGAGGAGGGCTGGGCCAGGTGAAGCCCGTCTCCCTGCAGCCGGGGACCTGGGGGGGCTGTCCCGCAGACATCGACGAGTGCCTGTGCGGCCCGTGCGTGCGCGGCGTGTGCCGGAACCTGCCCGGCTCCTTCACGTGCACGTGCGCCCCCGGCAGCCGGCTGGCGCCCTCCGGCACCGTGTGCCTAGGTGAGTGGCCCGGAGCCCTACAGCGTTCCAGACGCGGGCGCGTGTGGGCTGGGGCGCAGGGGTGGGCCGGGCAGGTGGGACAGGTGACCGCCCTCTCCCCGCAGACAGCACCAGGGGCACCTGCTGGCTGCAGATGCAGGACGGCCGCTGCGAGGAGAACCTTCAGGGAGCCACCCTGCGCTCCGAGTGCTGCGCCACCCTGGGGGCCGCCTGGGGCAGCCCCTGCGAGCGCTGCGACGTGGGTAACGTCCGCCCCCCGCCTGCCCGTGGGGGCCCCGGGTGAAGGCAGCAGGCCCCCCTCCCCCACCGGGGACAGCTGGACCGGGTGACTCCTCCCTCCGCTCCTGTTCTCCCAACCGCAGACCCTGCCTGTGCCCGTGGCTTCGCCCGCGTGACGGGTCCCGCCTGCGCAGGTAAACCCTGCCGGCTCCTGAGCCCACGCTGGGGGGGTGCGCGTCGTGGGTCTTCCAGGGGCCCCTCCCTGGAGTCTTCTGAGATGGAAAAGGAAGTCCCCCCCCCAGTGTCCCTGTCAGGGTCCCCGCCTACCTCCCCAAGCACAACCTGGGCTCCCTGCGACCCCAGGGGAGGAGCCAGCCTGCACCCTCCCGCCCCTGGGACCCTCCAGCTCTCCCTCCGCTTCCCTCCCGCGGCCAGACGTGAACGAGTGCGAGGCCTTCCCCGGGCTCTGTCCCCACGGGCACTGCCTCAACACCGCGGGCTCCTTCCGCTGCGAGTGTCCCCAGGGCCTGGTGCTGGACGCCACTGGCCGGCGGTGTGCGGGTGAGTCGGGGGCGGTCCGCGCGCGGGGCGCCCGCCCTTCCTTCCTGCCTTCCACCCCCCGCGGCGAGAGACGCCTCCTGGCAGCAGGGCATTTAGAGGACCCTCCTGTGGGACCCCCCCCACCTCCAGCTGCCGTGTCTTAAGACGTTTCGTTTACGCAATCCAGCTCTTCATTGCTCCCCGAGAATGTAACTGCCCCCCTATGTGAGTCTCGTTGCAAATGGTAAAATCTCGCGAAATGACATCTGCCACGGTCGTTTCTTCTCTGGATTTGAGGACGAAGCCCCTCTGGTATCCGTGTGCAGATGCCGGGCGTGGTGGCGCGTGCCTGTAGTCCCAGCTCCTCGGGAGGCTGAGGCGGGAGGATCGCTGGAGCCCAGGAGTTGGAGGCCGCAGTGAGCTACGATGACGCCACTGCGCTCCAGCCTGGGTGACAGAGAGAGACTCTGTCTCAAAAGAAAAAAAGGCATTATTTTTGAGGCGTGGCGGTGGGAAGATCGCGACGTAGACGATCACTGCCCACCGTCTGTGCCGGGGAGAAGGCGTCGCGAGCGGGTGGCGGAGCGGGACGCCGTCTTGCGGCGGGCACGGCGTGGCCGGGGTGGGACCCGGTGACCCTTGCTTTGCGCAGACGTGAGGCTGGAGCCGTGCTTCCCGCAATGGGACGAGGACGACTGCGGGGCCCCTCTGCCTGGCAAGCACCGCGTGGACGTCTGCTGCTGCTCCGTCGGCGCCGCGTGGGGAGCTGAGTGCGAGTCCTGCCCGGAGCCCGAGTCCCCGGAGTTCGCCAGCCTGTGTCCCCAGGGCCTAGGTTTTGCCCGCGGGGACTTCCCGTCCGGCCAGCCGTTCTATAAAGGTGCGGTTTTTGGGACGGGGCCCCCGGGGAGGACAGGGAGGGACAGGACGCGGCGTTTCTCAGTCTGTGCCTCTGCGCCGCAGATGTGGACGAGTGCGCGGCGTTCCCGGGCCTGTGCGCGCACGGCTCCTGCCGCAACGTCGCGGGCAGCTTCCGCTGCGCCTGCGCGCGGGGCTTCGCCCTGGACGCGCAGGGGAGGAGCTGCGCAGGTGGGCGCCGGCCCGCGTCTCGGAGTCGCGGTAACGCTGGGGGGACGGGGGTCTCCAACCAGACATGGACACCGGCCTAACTCGCGAGGCCCCTCTCGTGTCTGCCTGCGTGCTGTGTGGCCTCGGGCAGCTCCCTGCCCTCTCTGGGCCGCAGGGGCCCCGACCGCAACAGGAGGGGCCGACAAAGGTGACCTCCAGGGGCCTCCAGGCCAGGAGGACGTTCCCTGCTTGGGGCGCTCAGTCAAGGTCCCGCTGCGTCCCCGGCTCTGCTGAGCATCTTGGGGCTTCTGTGCGGCCCCCCTGTGCGAGTCTACAGACGTGGAGACCCCGTCGCGGCCCGCGGCCCTTGGTCTGTGCCCTCCTGTCCACGGGCAGGGACAGCCCCCCTACCGACCCGTGTCCCCTTGCGCTGCACATGCGCCCCCGGCCCCCGCGCCCTCTCCCCGCAGACATCGACGAGTGCCGCATCTCCCCCGGGCTCTGCGGCCAGGGCGCCTGCGTCAACACCCCGGGCAGCTTCGAGTGCGAGTGTCCCCCCGGCTTCCAGAGCGGCCCTGCGCCCGCGAAGAGCTGCGCGGGTCGGTGGCTGCGGGCCGTGGGCGCGGGGCGTGGAGAGGAGGGAGGGTGGGGATGTGGCCCCGGGAGGTGAGTCCCATTCTGTGCGGCTGGGAGAGCGGCAGTGGACAGGGTGAAGAGAGGCTGCAATGACAGCGGGGAGAAAGAACAGCGCGTGCAAAGGCCCTGGGGTGCGCCTGAGCGACTGGGGGGGGAGACGCGCACGGCAGGGTGGGTGGCGGGGCTGCCCCATGCCTGGCGGGGCTGAGCCTTGGCTTCCTGGTGTGTCCAGCTGTGTCACGCCTGCCCTCTCTTTCCA